AGTGAAATGTCTTCAATACTTGCGGGCGTATTTAATGAGGCATATCAGGAAAAGAAATTACCACCATCCTTTGGTGAATCGCGTACCGTTCTTATTCCGAAAACAGACGAGGTTGAAAAGCTCAGGCACGTCACAGCGTACAGGCCAATCGCACTGACAAATGTAGACTACAAAATATTAATGAAAATTTTGGCAGCTAGACTTCAGTCAGTTATAAAAGATATCGTTGGTCCACACCAAACGTGTGGAATCAAAGGGCGGTCAATAGCTACAAATGTTCATAAAATGCGATCCGTGCTCGAATGTGTTGACACCAGTCAAGCTCGTGTGGCTATACTTCAGCTGGATCTGGAGAAAGCGTTTGATTGCGTTTCCCACGCTCTTTTGTTTGCAGTATTGAAGCACATTAATGTTGGTAAGATAATTATTGACGGAGTAGCCATGGCTTATCGGAACGGTAGTACGAGACTAATTATCAACAAGACATTGGGCCCCCCCATAAGAATCGAGCGCTCAGTGCGTCAAGGTTGCCCTGTTAGTCCACTTTTGTTTTGCATCTATATTGAAACTTTATGTCAGTCGATATTGCAGAATGACATCATTAATGGGTTTAGAGTACAATCTTCAGAGGTCAAACTACTCGCATACGCTGATGATGTTGCGATTTGTAGCACTACCTATGGCGGTATTGTAGAATCAATCAGAGTTTCTAAATCTTTCGCCGAAGTTACAGGAAGCCACATAAACTGGGGTAAATGCCTCGGCTTCTGGCATGGATATTGGCCTTCAACACCAGAATTTTTTGCAGCAATTAAATGGACAAGAACGCCAGTTAAATATCTCGGAGTACCGCTTGAGTCATACAAAAGTACTGATGAATATTGGACACAGCAAACGAAAGAAATTAAAGAGAAAGCGAATAGGTGGAATGCAACCTATCTGTCCATGTTTGCAAGGGCTACTGCATGCAACTGGTTTTTTGTGTCAAAGCTGTGGTATGTGATGCAAGTGCTGTACTGTTCCCGGGTCAATGTGCAAAAATTACATCGGGTGTTTGCAGTATTTGTGTGGGGTTCTAACTGGGAAAGGTGCAGTCGCACGAATTTGTTTAGACGGGTGAAGTGTGGAGGCCTAGGGCTAGGACATCTGTTTATCAAGCAGTTAGTAAATAGGTTTTTCTTTTTTCGTGAGACAAGAGACCCTTTCCTACTAACAGTGTGTCAAACAAGACTAAGTAGACTGTTGCCCGAGTTTGTTGTGAGCACTCATGTTACCACAGGGGCTGTGCAAGGATACATGAAGGAAGTTGTGGCCAGCGTGCGGTTTTTGTGTGTTCGGTTTTCAACTGACTACCTGTGGTCTGTTGGAAAGAAAAAACTGTACAAAGATTTATGTGACACGATGCTCCCCATCCCATTGTACAGAGCGCTATATACAGCACGCAAGGGCCAGAATGTACTTAAACGAGTTAAAAAAATGCCAGCAGCTCCAAGTGCGAAAACGTTCTTTTTCAAATTACACACTGGAACACTTCCTGTAAGAACCTTCCTAGAGGAGCGTGGGTTTTATATGCCTTGGGGATCTCACTGTCTCATCTGTAAGAAACCGGAAACTATTGACCATGTTTTTCTGCACTGTTGGGAAGGAGTTTATTTTTGGGACGTATTACAAAGGACAATCAAAAAAGAGTTCCCGTTAGATCCTCATGGGATCAGGTATTTGGATATAGAGAATGATGATGGATTACCTTTCGATTTTATTATGATGACTGCCTTGCAGAGTATATGGCGCTCTAGAATGGCTGGATTTCATTGTGACCCAGACAGAAGACCAGCAAGAGAGTATTTTAAAGAAAGCATCTCAAGATTTCTCGAGGTAGTAAGAACAGATGAATGTGTACCTTTATGGGTAGAAAGGGTAGAAGCCCTACTGACCATGAAGGAATTCTAGAACGTGATGTGTTATAGTAATGCTTGACGGGCTTAGTTATTTTCCAGTTTTTTGTATTGCTCAATGTGAATTGTAATATATTAAGCGTAGCAACTCGCATGTGAAGTTTACCGGAAATTTAAAAAAAAAAAAATGGTGTGGCGCAGTGGTTAGCGTCTCCGAATGAGAATCCGCAGATTGCACGTTCGATCCTCCGTGGCGCCTTGTTTTTTTTTTTACGGGACGGATGTTTTTTTATACCGTTTTTATAGAATTCTTTTTTATTTTTTGTGGCAGCTCGTAACGGTGATTCTGACGTCATTTTGCGCTCAAGTGTTGCCGGCACTGCAGCACCCATCATACCCACCATGCGCCATGGTGGGTGTTTCCCACCATTCACCCACTACATTAATCCACTATAATGGTGGGTGGTGGTTTCCACCATGCCCACCATTCGTTTTTTTCCGATAGGGACTCCCTAGGTGCGTCACGTGTCGCGGATGGTTCTCGAAAAGGTTCGCCCTTTCCTCAGCCTTGGCTGTGCAGCGCATCGACGAAACGATTAGAAACGTCTAGAACCCAGAATGGAACGTATTTAAGCGAGGAGCGGTTAGTGGTGAGCAGGCGATAAAGGAAATTTTGCGCCATCGTGCATGGAGTAGGAGATGAGAGTTTTTCCGCCGTCGGGTGGAGGCTTATGTCTTCAGGGACGAAGAAGTTGAGATGAAGAGGTTTTCCACCTTGTGCTACATGTAGAAGAAGAGTGTGTGATTACAGCCAGTGGATGAAGACGCGTTCTGCAGTCGCAGTGTCTGAGAGTCCGACGTGTTACCGGCGAAGAAATTTGGGGATTGGAGTGCAGACATTTGACGATGCGAGGTTTCCTGAAAGAGAAACTTCGGGAGCAGCAGAAAGACAATAACATTGGACTTTGAGTGAGCGGTTCCTGGAAGAGAATCATTTAAACTTTGCTACAAGAACTTAGGACTGATTAAGTTTGACGAACTTTTTAGTCTATAAGTGCCTTGGTTGGTTAGTGCATAAGATTGCATTGTAGCACAAACCGTTGTTTGTGTCCGTTGTTTCGTGTAGCTCGTTGTGTTGTGTAGCTTGTCAATTTATTGCTGAAATATTGTATTGAACTATTGCCGAGTGGCAGAGGAGGAATGAAGGAGGGAGGACAGGTGATATGGCCGAGATGGATATATTTGTGTATTGTTTGATGTGCCGTATTTCAGTATATATTTTTGTTTGTTATCAACTCTCGGCATTGACTTGTTCTTTGGACCACAACGAGCATTCGCTAGCACACCAAATAAGACCAGCTCTAAATTTTCCGTGCTTTAGTGGTGCATTTCGGGAGGCTGATACGTCTTGGAATTGATACGCCCTTGGAATTAACCCGGTGATTGCCTCCGTAACCAACGTGACAAATGACACACATACAAATGTTTGGTTCCACGTATACTCATCATATGCTACTAGAGCGTTCATTCGGTGACGTAGATGACGATAACGCACTTTTCTACAGAACGAGACACTTCATCATCTAGAGACAAGTGTGACGGTCAGTACCCACGCGGCTCTATCAGTTCGTGCCCACAAAGCAGTTTAGACAGCAGCCTGCTTAAAAAACTCGTTTCATCTCTAAAGAGGCTCTGCCAACGCTCAAAATAAAAGAAATAATGCCATACATGATTATTTGGTTTTCTGCTAACATGCGAGAAATCAACGGTGCTCCAGCGAACCTCAACGAATCTGCCCACAATGCTACACGAGGACTTGTCAATCGTGCTGCCACAAGGCAAGAAGATGCTGGGGTTTCAGAATGCAATGATCACTTCCTCTCGTGCAACGAGATAACTAAAGATTTCTATCTAGAACGCAGGGTCTTCCCCCTCCACACAGTAAACTAAGCAGAGCTCAGGTCAATACGTTAAGGTGATTACAAAGAAGAACCTATCCAAACCTGCTGTCAATTTTTATCCGGAGTTCTGTGTTCCTACAACATGTGATAAATGACACATCATAGATCTTGCTCATCCTCCGCGTTACGCAGCGACAAGGAAAATACTGAATAACGATGGGACGCAGCTTTGCGCAGTCCTACAATGAAGGGACAATTAAGGGCTGTGGAACGGGCCCACGAAGCGGCTGAAAGGCTAGGTGTTCCGGCCCCAACGTGGGAGCGGCCCGCTTTGGGCTAGGACACTAGCACGACCTATCAGACCTTAATAAAGTTCTTTCATCCATCCATCCATCATCACATTGAATGCTGTGATGGTAAAATCTGCACGCACACCTCTCCTGAAGGAGCAGAAGAACAAGAAAAAGCAGGTAGGTAAGCCAGACGAGCATCCGGTTTGATACCCTACCCAGGGGAAAGGAATTAAGAAAGAAAAGAATAAACCAGAAAGTACTGTCAGAGTGCATGTGTGCCTGTCCATTACATGGCTACAAGCAATCGCTTAACCTGTCGATGGGAAAAACAGAAGTGCGATTCAATTTTGGCTCCTCTGGCGTAAGGATGTTGATTATTGACAGGGGAGAACGCGGTTTCACCGCATTTATGAACGTAGATGCTTACCCAATGCAGTAACGACGCAATTCACAACAACAAGAAAAGAAAAAGGCACCACATTTAGATTCGTGGAGTTTAACGTCCCAAAACCACCATATGATTATGAGAGACGCCGTAGTGGAGGGCTCCGGAAATTTAGACCACCTGGGGTTCTTTAACGTGCACCCAAATCTGAGTACACGGGCCTACAACATTTCCGCCTCCATCGGAAGTGCAGCCGCCGCAGCCGGGATTTGAACCCGCGACCTGCGGGTCAGCAGCCGAGTACCTTAGCCACTAGACCACCGCGGCGGGGCGAAAAAGACCCCACTGAGCAGTTTCTTATCTTTTGTCATTTATGGTTGGCGCCAACTTTTACAACCTACAAGAGCATGTGCAAAGCTCTACTACGCACCATGAAATAGTCTGCATACGGTGCGGGCAAAATGCGAGTTAAAAGAGCACGACTTCAATAAAAATCTAATTCAAAACAGCATTGCAGTCAGCTTACTTTCTGGGCCTCCGATGGAGAAATGATCTTTGACGAAGTGGCGTCCCTCCTTGGAGAGCACAGGCAGCTGGCATGGAACTTCCGCACTCACTTCGGTCATGAGCCGCGACACCGACTCTGCGACAGAAAAATAGTTTGTTGCAATATTACGCAGGAGGATCTGCGAGCAAGCGTTGTAAGTAGACTACTTTAACGGTAACTTAATTGTATTTTGTGGTAGCGCTCCTTTTCAACAACTGCAGCTCACAGCGAGCCTATAAAAAATGTGTATATATGCAGCGAACCAATGATTGAAGCCAGTTGATAGTTTGTGCCCTTTTTGTTTACTTCGTTTTTCTTTCTGTGCTCATCCGATTGCACGTGCAATGATTTCCACCACGAACACGCACCAACTCGTCCAGCAAAAAGTTCTGATAAAACCTACACCACCTCTACTACATTACTCAATATTTGCGTAGTCATCATCGTCATGTGCAGTCTATCTCCAATCCACCCTCTTATTCACTGCGTGCTGATTTACAGTTCATGTCTGCAAAGTTGTGCATTTCACCGCTCCACTTGATCTTGGTCGTACGTGGCGGCGCTTGCTACGAGTTCTTATTCACCGTTGCTCATTGGTTATATATCCTCATGCCTTTACCACCTCAAGTCAATTATTTCTCTTAACATCAACAAGTTTGTCAGTTATTGTATCTCCACTGTATACCTTTCTCCTACAGCTATTTCAACCATATTTTGTTTTATTGCAGGTTATGCTCTTTCCCAACATTCTCAAGCTACTTTCTTGTACTCTAAGTTTATGCCCCACATGCTGAAAGTGGCAGAATGCTGTACACATTTAATTCGTTTCATATGTTGTAAACGCAATAGTTGTAACTTGACTATGGTACGTTTCCAGTCAGTGATCGCAATGTGTGTGCCGTTATATTTCCAGTTCACGACAATTTTTAATGAACTCTCTTCGCTTGCAAAAGAGATTACAAAAGACCGAAGAGTGACCTAGACTTTGTCTAGTTCGCTACTCTACACGTGGGGAGGAAAATGGGGGAAAAGGCGAACGATTGAAGACAATAGTGCGCAAGATTCACAATACATATGTACAGTACGGTATAGGTGAGCACTAAGTTGTCTTTGAGACCTGTCCAATGACTCTGGGAGTGGAGATGTGAGGCCAGGCTTCCGAGATTTATTATTTAGAACAGGACTGGCCATAAAGTGACGATCCAGCAACGGTGACTGCCAGAGATTAGGCAAACAAGTCTGATCAAAGTCTACTGGCGATTCTGACAGAGTTTGTCAAATTGGGAACAGCATGAGCAAGTTGACAGGCGTCGCTCAGGCGTTGAAGTCGCTACAAGCCTGCGTTTGACACAGGGCTCGTGTTCGTGCCACAGCGTCAGTGTACTAGAGTTGCGATGTGGTATTCTTGGTAGTTCATCTTCAGTGTGTTTCTTTGTAGTGCACGTAAACAACAGGAAGAAAGTGCTCTGTCTGTGTGCATGTGCCTTCATTTCTATCTGTTGTTTACGTGCGCTACAAGGAAACTTACTTAGGCGTCAATATAGTCACGTGCGCACTTCGTTGTTGTCGTCTTCTAAGGAAACGTGTCCACTCTTCCTCCCTTAGACGAACTCTACATAGCTGTATGGAAGTCGCCTAATCTCTGGCAGTCGCCGTTGCTGGATGGCCACTAGCGTGTGACGTCTACAATTGCGAGGGAGTGTTGTCCTGCTGCATATCGGGCGAGCGAGGCCGTTTAGTGGCAGAGCTCGACGTTGTCTCTACTTGTTGCGTACAAGAGACCGTCTCCTGTTCCCCAATCTGTCGGCGAGTGGGTTATTTGTCCGGTATGTCTTGTTTTTTCATGTGGTTGAGGCGACGCCAAACCTTTCTGCGGTCACTTTTTACAAGCCAGGATCGTGGTTCAACGGGGTGCAGTATTTCACCTTCAATACAATCTGGATTTTTCAAAAATTGCCGGATAATCACTTTGTCCCCTACTGCAAATCGGGGTGATTTTTTCAAGGTCTCCTGGTGCTCAGGAATATGTTTATACACTTACCGATCTAAAAGATTGAGAAGGCAGAACAGTTCTCGTCCAAACATTGCTCACTGGCCACGTTTTTGCGCACAAGGAGCAAATAAATAGACCAAACATTCTAATTGAAGAGCAAATTGCATGAAAAGACTCAAGTGAGAACATTTACATATAGTGTGATGTTTTCTCCTGTAAACCTCAACAGATTTTTTAATGACCGGTTGCACACTCGCGAGACAATTGCAGCCACAGAGTTTCAGTAATTAATGAAAAGGCGGGCCCATACATTTTTATTGGTATCGCTTGGCTGGTAATTTTCATTAGGACTTTCAGTATTCAATCCGGTTTTGGAAGTCGACCTATTGGGCCCTGTGTTGGCTACCTTCTAAGGCATATTGTGCAGTTACTATAACAGGCTTCCCCTCAGTATGAAACACGAGACTTCACGCCAGCCTTACAGGTGTCACGAAGCAAAACTTTAAGTACTCACCCAGTGACCTTAGTTTGTTGACTCACAAATTGAATGCCGCAAATAATTTTTTAATTCATCAAGAAAAAAAGTTACGTTACGGTGTTTTCTCTGGCATTTAAAGTGCTTTCTCTCCTTCCGACAAACGCACTATAAGCTAACCAGAAAACTGTTTGCTGTGAACGAATAAAAGGTTTGGTTGAGATGCTCATGCCTGCGTTTTTTCTCACAAAGCCCAATGAGTGGTTCTTGGCAACATTGAAGAAGTTTCCTACTAGTGCGGGGCCCCTGTGGACTACGACTGAATGAAAAGGTCGACTGATTGGCAAGAAAATGAGTAAACGCACTGATTATCTCGGTTCTTCGGGATAGCGGCTAATATAACGGCAATTAGATATAATTGTTAAGTTGTAGTACAGACATTGAAAGAATAACGATACTGAAGGAATTTCACTGCTTGAAACTTAGGTCGAAAGTGCAGAAGTGTCCCACTATAGAAAATCGCACTCCACCTAACTTATTTATCCCCGCAAGTGCTGGCCTTATGATATCACTCGCGTGCCGATAATGCTACGACATAATCAAATTCCACCCGGACGATCCTAATCCGAAACAACCGTACTCTGTAGCTCGTGGCTTGGAGTGTCCTTCACTAACAGTTTTGCTTACCATATCGGAATTACTGACATTGGTACGCGTGATAACTGTGGCAGTGAGGAAACCATTCTCCACGTTCTTTGTGGCTGTCCTCATTATAGTGTCACGGGGTCGTGACGTGGCCGAAGACAGGAGACTTTATGTGTAGATTTAACTGTTTATTTGGGCGAACCTGTGCCCGGTAAACGGAAAGTTTGATTACAGTAGCAGTGAACGGAGCGTCGGTCCGTCGATCAACTACTGACAAGCGGCGAAGTGCGTCGGCATTTATACTCGTGCCATCGAATGTTCTAGCGTTATCGCTGGCGGTGACGTAGGTTCCAGATTAATCTGTACACTTCGCAGAGTGGGCGTGATCTTATCAAAATGATCTACTAAAGTCCGGAAGCTTCTCGAAAACTGCACGCGTGTTTTGCGCTGAGAATTGTGTAGTGTGTTGGGGCGATAACAAAACTTGAGAAATGGAACGTAGCATTTGCCCCCTTCTCAAAAAGGCATCGTCCCGATGCTTTAACTAAAGATGAAGGTACAACAATAATGCAAGAAAGTACAATGAATAAATTACGATACAATACAAAAAACACCGTTTCAGTTTGTTAACGCGCATGAAACGGCTGGAGGCACGCGACATGGACGACTTCAGGTTGCGATTGGCGTCGTTGAGTGTTCGTGATGCCGTCGGGGAACCCCTCGTAATCAAGGGGGCCGAGACGTCGAGCCACCCTGTACAGTCCGAAGTACCGTCGCAGAAGCTTTTCACTTAGTCCACGTCGGCGTATTGGCGTGCACACCAAAACACGTTCACCGGGCTGGTATTCCACGAAGCGTCGTCGAAGATTGTAACGGTGGCTGTCGGTCGTCTGTTGATTTTTAATACGGAGACTTGATTTTTAATACGGAGATTTTTAATACGGAGACTTAATACGGAGAGATTTTAATACGGAGCGTTGAAGGTACTCACTCACATCGAGGTTTTCTTCGTCGGTGACGTTGAGTAACATGGCATCGAGTGTCGTTGCCGGGCTCCTTCCCTAGACCAATTTGTATGGAGGTATCTGCGTCGTCTCCTGCACCGCCGTGTTGTATGCGAAGGTCACGTACGGAAGAATGGCGTCCCACGTCTTGTGTTCGACATCGACGTACATTGGCAGCATGTCAGCGATCGTCTTGTTAAGCCGCTTGGTGAGGTCGTTGGTCTGTGGGTGGTACGCTGTCGTCCAGCGGTGGTTTGTCTGGCTGTATGCCAAGATCGCTTGAGTTAAGTCGGCAGTAAATGCCGTTCGTCTGTCGGTGATAAGGACCTCCGGGGCACCGTGACGTAGGACAATATTTTCGACGAAGAACTTAGCTACATCGGATGCACTGCCTTTGGGAAGGGCTTTTGTCTCGGCGTAGCGGGTGAGGTAGTCGGTAGCTACCACGATCCACTTGTTTCCGAAAGCCGACGTCGGGAACGGCCCCAGTAGGTCCATAGCAATCTGCTGGAAAGGTCTGCAAGGTGTTTCAAATGGCTGCAGAAGCCCCGCTGGCCTTGTTGGCGGTGCCTTGCGTCACTGGTAGTCCCGGCATGTCCTCACATAACGAGTGACGTCGGTGGTAAGACGTGGCCAGTAGTACCTTTCTTGTATCCTCGTGAGCGTGCGAGGAACACCGAGGTGCCCTGCCGTCGGATCGTCGTGCAGGGCCTGCAGGAGTTCTGGTCACGAAGCTAAAGGTACCAGAAGGAGGTACTTAGCCCGAAGTGGTGAAAAGTTTTTCTTTTGTAGAATACCGTTTCGAAGGAAGAACGATGCAACTGCTCGCTTGAATACCTTCGGAACTTCGGCGGTCCTGCCTTCGGGGTATTCTATTAGGGCCTTACGTTCCGGGTCGGCCCACTGTCGTTCAGCGAAGTCGTTGGTAGTTATCGTTCCCAAGAAGTAGTCGTCATCCGGGTCGTCGGGTAGGTGGTTG